ATATAAGAGACTTCGTCTCCGGTCCCGACAACTCTCTTATATCCGGGTTACACTGTATATAAATAGTAATTGCAAACATTTTAACTTTCTTTTAGTCTTTGATATATTTTGTATTCACTGTAGTTGATGCTCTTTGTATCGTGAATGTATTATTGCCATTAAAATACTTTTTATTCGTTCTACGAACAGTTAAACGTAAATTATCATAGAAATCCACTTAACGGACTACGTTTTCTGTATAAACATTTTCAGAAATACTTTATAATACAGGGTGTTTCAAAAAATTTGATATCCTTTGAGATGTAAATATCACAGAAAGTACATGATTAAGGCAAATGAAATTAAAAAGTATTAATAAGATTTATTCTTCCAAATCTGAATGAGAAATTCAAAAGCATGTGGATTATGTGAACGATTTCACAAATGTGAAGTTTGTGGTCGTCCGGATGCTTTTGCTCTGCACAGACAGCCTTCCTCTTTGAAGTTTTTATGCCATCTCCAAATCTGCATTCCTGTTGGTGACTTTCTAGAGAACTCTCTCATAAATGCACGCTGCACAGTCTTGTTTGACTGTGTTCTAGCAAACTCCAACACACAAAACGCCTTTTTCTCTTCTAGTAAATAGCATTTTTATACCTGTAAAGAAAAAGATTAAAGATTAAAAAACATAAAAATACAAATAAGAAAAACACAAAAAACATAAAGACATAAAAACATAAAACAAACATTAAACATAAAGGTGCTATTAAAATTTGAAGTCATTTGAAGGAGATCTAACAAAGTTATTAGATTTGCGAAATGATATCAAATTTTTTGAAACACCCTGTACTTTATAAATGTATTTCTGTCATTCGGCTCATCCACTTGAATTTCCTACTCTGGCCATAACTACATAGAGATGGTCATCGGGTACTTCAGCGTGGTGTAATGGTTAACATGCTTTTCTTGCTAGATTAATTTAGACTGAATAGTGAGTTCGGTCCTCATTGACTTCTCCGCACTTTCGATTTTGTGCCACAACTAAACGACGTTTAGAACATACCATAGCACTGACCGTGAGATAAAGATTTGAATAATTTACTGATATTTATAACAATAATAAAAATTAATCCGGCATTCTATTTTTTTCACTTGCTTAATAATTCGGTATAGGTTTAAACAATTTAAGATAGTTTAAAGAGATTATAATTAAACAAATTATTTTGTCTTATTTGAATAATTCCATAATTACTTTCGGTTCCGTTCGACTAATTTGTATTAATGTAAAATATCAGACGACAACAATGCTTTTTACTACGAACTCTGCAGATTTTCTAACTTACAACTGAATTTTGCAAATGCGGATATAATTTCTTTCTAGACAAAAGCAATGAATTAAAAAAATTATTGACAGAAACATTATTTACATAGGAAGATTTTTAAAACTTTACAATAAAAATAAATAACACAGATGTTACCGATTACCTTGTAAAGGCAATTTGTTAGTAACATATGTAAAGGACTGTTAGTAAATTTATTCTATGTTCGTGTGAGTACTTCAGTAGGGTGTAATGGTTAGCAATTTTATCTAGCTAGATCAATGAAAACTGAGTACTGAATTCGATTCTCACTGGGTGCTCCATACTCTCAGCCTTGTGCTACACCTAAACTATGCTTAGTAAATTACTATTCTATGTTTGGAGAACAGGCTAGACTGTTTTGTTCTACTGATTAAGCTGGGGACACAGACTAAATTTAACCTTATGCGAATTTATAAAATATTGTAAACAACTACCTCTTCGATTAAATGGTCCTCACACATATTCTTAAAGCAGTGGCTAGCAAGCTAATCATGAAGTTCATTACTATTGTAATGAGATCGATTTCCCACTTGTATCAGCCTAAAATAAACTGAAACCAGTAGCAATATGAAATATCTTCGATATGCATTTTGCAGCTTTCGAAGTATAAATTCACAACCTGCACAATCCATCCAGATTTCCTCCTACCACACTGGAATGATCTAGCAAATAAACACCAGACGCTCTTTCTCTGAGCGAGCATTGAATTAATACTATTCGACCAATGAAAATTAATGCTTCCAAATCCGAGCTCTAATGAACTACAAGAAAAATCTTTTCTATTTTCATTCGGGGCTCTGTGGGAGTTAGACCTGACACATTTAGCAGCTTGTGCATTCCCCAACATTCTCGGAAAACAAAACGTTAAGAACACGGTCTTACACGAAGCAGAAGCAGTCGGTTTGACTCACTCTTACAGGCCTCTTGTACAATATTTCTACATACAAACTTCTACCACAAACACACACTGCTTTCTCAGAGACCACCCAATACACCCAATTTTCTCTTTGTCGTTGTTTTGCCATTTCTTTCTATTTAATCATCCGTTGCTAGCCACCTAATTTTGGCTGTAAGGTTATGATGATCCTTCTATCTCCAATACAACGGCAGTCGCTTTCTCTTCAAAAGTAGCGATCAGCGCGGCCGCTTCCTCATAAATGTTACGGCTACTTTCAACCAGCTTCTGGCCACAGCAAATAGCTGAGGAAAATTTTGTTTCTATCAAGCATATTCCAATATACCAAAAGATTATCTTTCGAAATATGGAAAATCGTTAAAAAAATAAATAAACTTTAATTAAACTACTACTCTGTTTTAGAAAACGTTGTGATTGCATTGCCTGGAACAGTTGCTAATGCTAGAGTAGAGAAAAGCCGTTTATTTAAAAATGAGATCTCCCCACTTGCAGTAAAACGATACACGCATGAAAATGAATGATTTGAATGGTTCAAAGAAAAGGCATGTGTTCAGTTGTCATAAGCATTAACTTCTCTCGATTTTGACTCTTCTGGAATTATCCATCATTTTTATGTACTATATATCAGGTGTGTCAAACTGGAGACCCGCAGGCTGCATACGGCTTTTTACATGATTCTTGACGGCCTTCACAAAGGTTTCTATAGCCGTGATATATCGAGAGTTTTGTCTATGTTTGTAATGCAAATTATTAAAAACTGTGAGATTTTTCCATTGGCATGATTAGATTGATTATTTCGTCTCAATGTTTTTGTTTTGTTTGTTTTCGAATGCCAGCGACTATTTTCATAGCAGTCCCAGTTGTCACATGAAAAACTTGATTGAAAAAACTGCCAATAATGAGTTTCTATTTAACTTTGCTAAGTACGACAATTACCTGGAATTTCAGCGAAAATTTTGTGATTTTTCATCCTGTGAAGATCAGTTTGCATTATTCTCAGCACCATTCACTTTTGATGTTGCTGATGCTGAGAAAAATCTACAGATGAAAGTACTGGAACTGCAGACTGACTCAACACTCAAGGGAAAGTAACTAGAAGTAGGGGTACCCGGATTTTTTCATACCTTCCTAAGACATTTAAGAACTTCAGAAAGTTTGCCACAAATATGCTGATGTTTGCTTCCACATATGTCTGTGAGCAGTTATTCTCATTTATGAAGGCCACAAAAGCGTCTCACAGAACCAGATTAACTGATTTTTCATCTTTGATCAAAGTGGGATCTCCACAGACATTCCAACCTGATATATCGAGAATAGTTTATCTAAAGCGATGTCACTCATGGCTGCAGATATGGCCGGTGCGGCCCTAAATATGCCCTGAGTTTGAGATGTCTCCTATACATACATATCCTGTTTTACTTGTATTCGATATATTCATATTTGCTCTTAGCCCCGTCGTTAAATCCTTCGTCAAGGTACTTCTTTAGTTTTTTTTCTTATTACAGCAATATCCTTTTGACAGTTATTTAAACCTGCTTGTTTTTTCTTTTACCGGTAGATGAGGCCATATTAAAACATGGGTAAAAATAAAGCCAGTAAAGCTTATCTCTCTGACCGCTGTTGGCTTGTATTCACGTCAGATAATCAATATCCCTTTCCCATCAAATACGTCAACACCTGGGGATAAGCACTCTCATGAAATCTACCTCTACTCGGGAACCAATCGATGTACTTAAACCCAAAGAGAATGAGAGAAAAACTACTGTCTAAAACTTGAGAAGAGAGTTCAATATCGAAGATAGTGTGTTCGCATATGTAGACCCAGTAAAAATAAAACTCAGAACTGCATGGTGGCTGTTATTTTTTAGACTTCCTTCAAATCATGCTTCAAATTTTTTTTTACGCTGACAATCGAAATTTTTAAAATACGTATTGTAGAATGTGATTCACGGCATAAAATACGTGAAGTCTGATACAATGTCAAACAGAAACTTTGATCTAAAAGGAGTTGATATGTGGTAGCCCAACTATATAGTGAGATCACATACTAAAGTAATTACTCCACTCTGTGTCACAACAGAAAATCAAAAGTGATGGGTGCACCATGCGATTGATCTAGAAGGGGTCCTCACTGCCAGCAAGTGCAAAATCGAAACTCAAAGATTGTTAGTGGCTGCACCGGCAATAAAATATACATTTAGGATATAAACACACAAGGCAATCGAATGAAAGAAAGTTATATAAACATCTGAAATGTGAGTCGATAAGGAAGAGTCCCTAATATTCATGTGGGAAGAAACGTTCTAAGTCCCCGGAAAACCTCATACGTTCAAGATGGACGTTAACTGGACGGGAACCAGGAGTGAAAGAAAAATTATTTCGCGTATGTATGGTTTGGTTTTATATCCTTATTTGAAGCTATTAACATAAGGTTACAAAGTCATTACAATTGAAAAAAAAATATTTGGTCCGTATTAAATTTGAGATAACTTCCTTAAGTTTTAGAAAGAAAAACTACTCAGCCATTGACGAGACCAGCTTTTTAGACCCAATGTTGATAGATACTTCTAAAATGTTTGCCAATCATCGTATAGGATTATCCTGATTCTGTAAAGTATAATCTAACAGCCTAGAGATAAAAAAAGAAAACAAAATCGAACACAACAGAGAGAGTTTTAGGATTACCCCACTTGTCTGTTAGGTAACGTCTGCTAACGCTGCGCTTTATAAAATAGTATATTAAGAAAAGAGCAAAAATTATTTTTCTTTCCCTCTCTCTTTCTAACTCCTTCTCTTTTTCTCCCTCTCTCTTTCTCTCTCTCTCTCTTTCTTTCTTTCTTTCTTCACCTACAGGGAGCAATAGGGACAAAATGTGTCTTGTTACCACTCCGCGTAACTACTTACCCCCAACAAATCACGTGTTACATAAAACACACATTACGAAATATCATCTCTCTACAACAAACTGACTTCACAGAATTCTAGCACGGGGCATTTGCTCTTTTAAATTGAAATCCTTATCTACAATCGGAAAATAATAAGAGAACTATAAGCAGTGCTTAAATGCGTGTATTTGTCTCGGAAAATGGCTGGACAGTTATACCCGCGTACATACCTAGACTCTGATTCGAGATCTCAGATTAACGAAGCTTTTCCCTATCTCAGAAATTTTATCTCCTATACTTTGTCGTATCATTTTTTTCTATTTTCTAACTTCATTTCATTTTAATGAAATGTAATACAATTCTCCTCTTCTCATCCGATCCTTAAATTTCTCCCCGATCGAACGAGCACCAACAAGCCTAATCTGAAAATGATTTTATAATTTGCCATATCATATCTTTACCACGATTATTAACGACAGATTGAATATACCCCCAGCAAATAACGAACTATTGTCCCTGACCATCAGCTCGCCAAAGGTCAAGCACTGTTGTAGATCACCTTTTAGATTTTATTAGCTGGTAAGTGGGCAAATATCTCCAGGCCAATAAGCTGAACTTTCCATGAATGATTGTAAGGTGTCTTTCGATTTTGCGCTTCGCCTTGTACATCAACTTCGTAGAACTCTTTATAGGCAACAATACTCAACAGTACGTGACGACTCAAGAGATATGACCTTGTCATATTAAACGAATGGCCAAAAGTGAAATGCATTAAGTGTGAAAGCTGTAAGACCACTTTCGAGTATTCTTCATATCAGAATCTTATTAAACACAGCCACATAGTATCGTGTATCGTCTGAAAATTTCCTGACTTATCGACATTTTTACACTTCCATTTAATTTTATATATATATAACTCTTTCAAGCCTGTGCGCCCGGAGAAAATAATTTAACTGGCATATATCGCGAAAAAAAAAAAGATAGATTGGACAATATTTTTCTAAATTACGTATCTTTTAAAATTTTCTGATATTCGAATGCAATATCCCTGTTCACTATACAATTCTTTCAAAGTAATTAGCGTTTATTTATTAATTTATTTATTTAATAATTTGATTATTTATTTATTGAGATTTTATTAATTTCAAACTGGTTTCTTAGGACAGAATTTTTTTAATAATTTTTCTAACATCGTGATTCAATTATTCTCTCTCTTTCTCTCTCTCTCTCTCTCTCTCTCTCTCTCTCTCTCTCTCTCTATTTCTCAAACTTTCCAGCAACTGTCAATGCATCTGAATTTACTTTTAGCTAGAACGACAGAGTAAACGAATTTTTTATAAAATAATCTCTACTAATAAATTGACAAGAAAAATGTTTCACAAATCTTTTTAAGCATTATTTTTTCAGGTATCAATGTCGAACACTGTAAGCGTTTACCTCATCATAACCAGCTTTTAGAAGTTAAAACTCACTGCAAAACAATTTCCACTTCATCAAATCGAAAGAATGTCGAAACTTAATCCAAGAGGCTTAAATTGACTTCAGTGTAGGATTCCGATTGCAATATTTAAATACTTTCTTGTTTAAAACGAAAAGAATGCAATCAAATCGGATGTGTTGATAACTGCATCAGACATGCCCGAATAAAAAGCATTACTTCCGGTAAAATTTTCGATTCAAAACATTATCCTAAAAACATTTGAATAGTCTGAATAGCTTTATATTCACACGGCAGTTGTAGCGTTGTTCTTTCGAGCAGCACCTGATTAGGTTGCCGATATGGTTTCTCATTATTTTGGGTACTAACAAACGCTTTAGAGATATCAACAGCCACGGCGCGAGCTTCTCCGTTATTGTGAAGTGTTTGGTAAACAAATTCAGTTATGGCCGTGAGCACATCAGCGATAGAATCCGCTTTGCCCGATCTACCGCTGATGTGCTAACAGTCATAATAAACAGAGAAATTCCTTTAGAAACAAACAAAAAAAAATCATTCGTCACTCACAAGAGCTCGGAGACGCTTTTAAACTCTATCAAGGCTGCAGAGTAAGGTCTTGGCATTTCCTATCCAAATATGATTACAGTACTCCTTTTTTTTTCGCCTGATCTGATCTTGTAGAGGATAGCAGGAGAAGTCAGGTACTTACTCGAGCGAAATAATAAACGTTGCAACCTATGGAAGGTTACTGAATGAGGAATAACCAAAACGGACGTTGGAAATGAAATGGTAATGTCGCAGTGTGCCCAAACACCACTCCCACCTTTTCTTAAACAACCCCGGATATGCCTGCCAGTAGAGAAAGGTCACGACCCTTGTGTGCTAAAAATAGCAACGACATCCTTTCAAACTGACAGAAACACACAAAACTCAATTTTCGCCACTAAACAAAAATAAAAGACCTTTAATTTCGAACCGAAATTAATTTAAATACAGTCAACAAACACCGAACACACTTTTGACTGTAATTAATACGGCCCGAAATTAATTATATTCATTCACTTGTTTAGCGTCACCGCTTCTCTTGTATGAACCGTCATATCTAGATGCCCGAGACTTCGCAGCGGTTTTTAGCTAAGACTAACTTGGACCAGAACTTGACTAAGCTTTGACCAGCTTGGACATGTTATAACCAATCTTTGACCAGTGACCCTATGCGGAAACGCTCGGATTTCCCACGAAAAACGACCTTGTGTCACATCTTGACCCCGTGGGAGTTAAGTAAATACCGCCGGCTAGGGAGCAGGAAGCCTTCCTGATTCGCGACTTTGACACGCCCAGTCAAGTCGACCAAGCCCAGCAGCTGACGGGACCCCGCAGCAGTAGCAGCAGTTGTTCAAACAGTCCTTTTCGGGGCTAACTTCCGAAAGTCATTCGATCACCACTCTTCAAGGCTCCACTCACTCCACTCTTTGCTACTGCCTTCCCTCTGAGACGCCAGCTCACTCCTGCAGCTTCCAGCACTCCTGCAGCTTTCAGCACTCCTGCTGCCTCCAGCTCACTCCTGCAGCTTCCAGCACTCCTGCAGCTTCCAGCACTCCTGCAGCCTCCAGCTCACTCCTGCAGCTTCCAGCACTCCTGCAGCTTCCAGCAGTCTCCAGCTCACTCCTACCGCTTCCAGCTCACTCCTGCAGCTTCCAACACTCCTACCGCTTCCAGCTCACTCCTGCAGCTCACTCCTTCCAGCGGCCTCCAGCTCAGCCCTGCGGTGCTCTACGGACGTCTCGCTACCTATTCCAGCACCCGCTGACGATCTAATCCAGTGCCCACTGACGTCCAGCGCCCGTTAACGTCCGGACACCGTTCCCGAACAAACGACCTCTGTCGTCTTACCATCCACCGTTCGCAAATAAAGACACGATTTCCATCGTCTACAACGGACCATCTGCGTTTGTCATCCTTCTTTGCTATTGCCATCTCCTTGCCTTTGTGTCCCCTATTTTAGTTGTACGGTCGATTGGCACTCACACCTCTCGGCCCGCAGCAACAGTAATCTTCATAACATCAACAAAATACAATACTCGCCAGCGACGTGAAGTAGGTAAACAACTTCTAGTGGTGGATTACTTAGACAGCATATTACGATATTTACCTGCCCCTCCACGAGGTAGGATGTGGCACAAGGCCAAATTTAATGTTGGGAAATCCCGCCATATTAGAGGATAGATATCACATAGCAATCCAGCACTCTTTTTTTGTTGTTTGTTTCTAACGATTTTTTTATTTTAGTTTCTCGACACTCCGTTTAGCTTTTGGAATCTTTCTTTCATTACTCCAGTGCATGTTGGGACTTAGTGTTGTATTTCCATCATCTGTTAAAAAGTTCTCAAATATTTAATCTTCTTCGCCTGCTTGATGTTTATATCTCCAATATGTAACTTGCACCTTGGATTTCTTTCTCATGCTGCTGAATATACTTTCTGTCTTTTTGCAGTTGATGTTTAGTCCTTTTACCTCGTTTTCTTCTATCATCCTGTCCATGAGGTCCTGTAGTTTCTTTTCTGAATCGGCCATCAGCACAGTGTCATCTGTGTATCTTATATTGTCAAGATTATGCCTGTATGCTTATTAAGTGATTGGTATATGTCTTCACAGAGACTTTATTACTTGGAATAGCATAATAGCAGTAGTAATAGGGTTAAGAATATGAGAATAATTTTTAATGTTCCATATAAATATAAAAATAGACATTTTATCACATATATACATGTATGTTTATATAGCAATCCAGCATTCTTCTTAGTCTCTAATATATTTTTGCCGTTTATCAGTACTTTGCTTAGCATTTTCCATTCTCTGTTAAAATGTTTCCCAGATATTTGAACTTCTGCACCTGCTTCACGTTTATATTTACAATTTATAACTAAAGTATGATCATCTTGCTGATGATCGTACTTTCTGGCTTCTTGCGGTTGATGTTTAGTCCTTTTTTCTCGCTTTCTTCTACCACCCTGTCTAGAAGGTCCTGTAGTTTACTTTCTGAAATGACTATCAACACAGTGTCATCTGTGTATCTTATATTACTAAGATTACACCCACCGATAATACATCCTGTCAGTGTCCCTAGCTTCATCACAATAGCGTCGTTGTAGATTTTGAATAAATCTGGAGAGAAGACACATCCTTGTCTCAAGCCCTTTCTATTTTTGTGTAACTACTCAATTTTCTATCGGTATGCAGAAGGTTTTTCCACCAGTTCTGGATTGTTGTGACATCTTTTCCAAATAGCTATACTAGCAGTTCAAATGGAATTCTTCTGTTGTACCTTGTCAAATTCTTTTTGCATAATCTATAAAATATAAGTGCACATTCTTTTGCCTTTGTATAGGTTCGCTTTCTCTCTCGCTCTGATATCATTCTAGTCATGTATATCATATTTCTTGTTCTTGTTGCTTTGTCAAAGTCTCTTTATCTGTTTTCGTCCCATTTCCGGTTTAATTCTGATTCACGATCTATTCATCAGGATTCGCACCATTAGTTTTGGTTATGTGACTCATTAACAAAAAAGAAATACCCTAAAAATATGAAACTTTCATATAGATACCATGCATGACGCTGAATTCGTTCAGAAATATCTAAACTGTATAAAACCGCTTTCTCAGATCTATAATCATAAATTACCTCGTGCGAATGAATCATGTGCTACAGAATCACAAAGAATTGTACCAAATAACAGAGATTACATCACTTGAGTACTTTCAACAACAACTCTGATGGGTAGCCCATAATTAGAAAATAATGGCGTAATTAAGATTTTATCGTTCTGCACTACTTGAAGCAAAAGATTAGGAAGGAAAACCCCATTGATACTGGTATAAGTAATAACACCTACTGGACTTGAGAAACCTTTTACATTTAAAAAAATGTTTTAATAGAAAGATTCATTTGTCAAATGACTGCTGAAGGTGATTGGTTGCGTAAAAGTTCAATTAACATGTAAAATAATAGAATTGTAATGTATTCAAATATATGACATATAGTGTTAATTAAATTTGTTTTCTTGTCTCAAAAAATATTATCAATACTTTTAATATGTATAGTTTTTATAACCTGAAACTTACATAGTATATTGCTCATAAACATATAAATGTAACGTGGAAAATCATTCCAACATAGATTCGTTAATAACAGTTATATTACAAATACATTAATTTGTACAATCGTAATAATCACTGAAAAGACCTATTTTAATTTCCTGATGAATCTTAATTCTTCAGTTAATGACTGAATACACTCGCGAGAATAAGATAGCCGTAGAAATTCCCCTTGTCACATCGTGAAATATTTGAGTTTAACAACTTTAACAAATTATTACAATAACAATAAAAAAAAATATAATAATGTTCATTATTTTGAGAAGTCGGTACGAATAAAAAGATTTGAAATTAATAACTTTTTTTCCATTTCACATCTAACGAGACAATCTTCCCAACCACGTTGAAGTGTTCCATTTGTTCAGGATGTGTAAGTAGCATAGCTGTTATTCACGCAAAGTAAAATCAGCGAATCGTGTTCAAATTCTGACCAAGCCTGTTGCGTTCACTTTCATAGAAATATTTTTGGGAAAAAGCATGAATCTTCCCTTTCCCTCCAACACAAATGATATGTTCAGTTTTATGGTAGATTTGGCTCTCTAGCCTTGGATGGCAACCAGTCTAATAGAAAGACAAACGCTGAATCCCAAATCTTGGAGAAGGCAAAATAAAGCCAATTCACTATCTTTCCTGAGAAGCCATGGCAATTCACGTATAATAAAGAAAAGGAATCTGTGATGAGCCATGATCACATACGCCCTGAAGGGACATGGCATTTAAGGAATCTATATAATCATTTAAAGTGAGTGAAACCCTTTTTTTTAGCGTGACATAAGAAGGCAAGGAGAAACTAATGTATTAATATAGATGAGACAAGGTCGAGGTGGATATCAGTAGCTAAGGAAATATTTAAAATAGAAAAAATGTGAAATTCAATAATAATCGAATGTAATATTTTTTTCAAATTACAAAATCGTGAAAGGATTCAATTTTTTGTCCCACTCTTATGACATTCTTTCTTCTCTATTTTTCTCTCTCTATCATTCTACCTCTCTCTCTCTCTCTCTCTCTCTCTCTCTCTCCCTCCCTTTCTCTCACATGCAAACTCTCTGTCATTCTACCTCTCTCTCACATGCAAACTCTCTTATCATTCTACCTCTCTCTCTCTCTCTCTCTCTCCCTCCCTTTCTCTCACATGCAAACTCTCTGTCATTCTACCTCTCTCTCATGCAAACTCTCTTATCATTCTAATCTCTCTCTCTCTCTCTCTCCCTCCCTTTCTCTCACATGCAAACTCTCTGTCATTCTACCTCTCTCTCACATGCAAACTCTCTTATCATTCTACCTCTCTCTCTCTCTCTCTCTCCCTCCCTTTCTCTCACATGCAAACTCTCTGTCATTCTACCTCTCTCTCACATGCAAACTCTCTTATCATTCTACCTCTCTCTCTCTCTCTCTCTCTCCCTCCCTTTCTCTCACATGCAAACTCTCTGTCATTCTACCTCTCTCTCACATGCAAACTCTCTTATCATTCTACCTCTCTCTCTCTCTCTCTCTCTCTCTCCCTCCCTTTCTCTCACATGCAAACTCTCTGTCATTATCACCTTCTCCAATTCACTCTCTCCTTCCTGCACTTATTTCGTTCTCTGCTTTACCATTTTTCTCTCCCACCACCTCCTTCCACGCGCTCGCAGAACGGAAAAAACTTCTCAGAATACTTCTACTACGTCTTTTACTGGCATTTCAAGTATGATTTCCTACATTGACATCGGAAATATCTCCGCTAGTTGAGTAACTGTTTTTTTTTTTTTTTTTTAGTTTTACTTTTTTCTCTTTCAAACTTTTATTGTTCTTTCTACTTTCTCTCTCTCTCTCTCTCTCTCTCTCTCTCTCTCTTTCTCTTTCACTATTTTCTCTCTCTTCCTTTCTCTTTGTCTCTCTCTCTTTCTTTCTCCCTCTATTTCTTTTTCTTTCACTCTTTCTCTCTCTTTTTATCTCTCTCTTTCTCACTTGCTCTTTCTCTCTCATTCTTTTCTCTCTCTTTCTCCCTCGTTGTCCCTCTCTCTTTCTTTCTCTCTCTTTTTCTCTCTCACTCTTTCTTCCTATCTTTCTCTCTCTCTCTCTCTCTCTCAGTCTTACACACACACACACACACACACACACACACACACACACACACACATACTCACTCAACCCGTCTCGGACTCCTTCTAACTTCGTTTCAATCATCTTTGTCTTCTCAACTGCATTCTTTTTCGGGGTTTTTTTTTTTTCTTTTCATCTTCGTTATTTTAGAAAACATAATAACAACACCTCGCTACAAAAACTCAGACAGAAATTGTCATAAGATCTCTTCATGGAAACACTGGATGAGATTTTTATTCGCACGTCTTTGACGTCTACTACTTTATTCTTAATGGCTCCACCCACATTAGCTACTTGTCAGAAAGTTATTGTCAGTGCAAAACCTACATTTACCTTTACAATGAAAGAAATATATATGAATGCGTTTGTGCATATACCTGATAACACACATTCACACTTCTATATGTACGTATACATATATATATGTGTGTGTGTGCGTGCGTGTGTTTATCCGTGGCTTAAAAAATGATGGTATATGTAAAGTTCATAATTTGTTAAGTTGTTACTATTATTAGAAGGAGACTCTTCAGATATAATGTGTCTGTTTCGTAAACATCTTGGGAATGGTAGCAATTGTCA